TTTCAAAAACAAACGGCGGCGCGGTGGCTCAAGCCTGTAATCCCAGCACTTGGGAGGCGGGCAGGCGGCGATCACGAGGTCAGGAGATCGAGACCATCCTGGTACACGGTGAAAACCCGTCTTCTACTACAATTACAAAAAAAAACTGGCAGACGAGGGGGTGGCGGGCACCTGGTAGTCAGCTTCATCGGTGAGGCTGGAGGGCCAGGCGGAATGGGGTGGATCCAGGAGGGCGCAGGAGGCGGAGCTTGCAGTGAGCTGAGATCCAGCCACTGCACTCCAGCCTGGGCGACAGAGCAAGACTCCGTCTCAAAACAAAACAAAACAAGCCTCCAGGCCCCTCACTGCCCTGGCTGTCCTGCAGTTCTGAAGCAACAAGGCTGAGCCCCAGTAACGCCTGGCTCTGTGTGCCACTCCCTAGCATGGATAATGCTGGGGTCCTTTCAGGTTTAATTGATGCCGAAGGACCATGAAGCAGACAAAGGGCTCAAGCCCCAAGCTGGGCATGGAGAGGCAGGTGCCTCATGGCAAAGGGAGGGGGCTGGCTTCTTTCCCCCAGCCTTGACCCAGGGGCTGGGATCAGCCCTCCTTCTCTTTCCCCTCTTTGAACTGGGACGCACTCCGGCAACTCTTTGCAGAGAGCCTGTGTAGCCTGGGTTCTCCCTGCCTCCAGGGGTGAGAGGAAGAATGGAAGCAGTGGTCACAGTTTAGACATGGAGGCATTAGGAAGGATGCCAAGGGAAATGGCCAGGTCCCCAGGCAGCAGCCACCCTGGAGGTAGGACCCAGGCTCCCGGCTCCCTGCTTCTAGGACTTAGCTTTGCGACTCAGCCAGATCCTCACTACAAAAACCTTTCTCTCTGTGCCTGTCTGGGCTTGATGGGGTCCAGCTTAGAGAGGAGAGGGCAGGGCAAGCAACAGTCCGCTAGTGGAGTCCTAGACCCAGGGAACAGACTGTTTTCTGCGCTTCCAGTAAGGATGTGGAAAGCTTTCAGAGCAAGCCTCATGGAGGAGAGGGGGAATGTTGGAGAGGCTACAGATGGGACCAACTCCTCCGGAGAACAGAGCCCCAGGATGCAGGCAGGGGCTCTGATGCTGGGCCCTGTCCCTGGGCTTGGAGGTTGTGTAAAGGGAGCAGAGGCAGGTATAGGGGCTGGCAGGGAGAGGATACTGAGGGAGGCTGCTACTTACAAGTTGTTTCCCAAGACACTTCTCTTTGAAGCTCCCAGATGCTGCATCAGCTCTGGATCCGACTGTTCATCACCCACCATAGTGGGGCCCACCTCCTGCAAGGTAAGCCACAGTGGCTGCTTGGCTGGCTGCCAGGAGGAGGTAGAAGGTTTTGCGTCTCCTTCCTCCCCTGCCTGCTAGTCCAGAGTAAGCTTCAGGTAAAGGCCACAGAGAGTAGCAAGAATCGTTAGGGGCTGAGCACAAGCTGCAAAGGGGTGGAGCCCACCAATGATCAGGAGGAGCGATGTAGGGGCCCTCCCTAGTCCCTTAAAGCTCAGCCTTATAGTCCCAGCTACTCGGGAGGCTGAGATGGGAGGATCAGTTGAAGTGGGAGGAGGTTGAGGCTGCAGTGAGCCATGATTGCACCACTGCACTCCAGCCTGGGTGACAGAGTGAGACTCCATTTTAAAAAAACAAAATAAACATTATGTAAATGAAAGAAGCCAGACACAGATCACATTACCACAGAAAGGTAATTAGTGGTTATCTAGGGCTGAGGGACTTGGGGGAAATCAAGAGTTTCTGCCAGTAGGTACAGGGTTTCCTTTTGGGGTATTAGAAATGTTCTAGCTGGGCGCGGTGGCTCACGCCTGTAATCCCAGCACTTTGGGAGGCCGAGGCGGGCGGATCACGAGGTCAGGAGATCGAGACCATCTTGGCAAACACAGTGAAACCCCATCTCTACTAAAAATAGAAAAAAAATTAGCCAGGCATGGTGGCGGGCGCCTGTAGTCCCAGCTTCTCGGGAGGCTGAGGCAGGAGAATGGCGTGAACCCAGGAGAGGGAGCTTGCAGTGAGCTGAGATTGTGCCACTGCACTCCAGCCTGGGCAACAGAGCGAGACTCCGTCTCAAAAAAAAAAAAAAAAATGTTCTAAAACTGATTATGGTGATGGTTGCACAACTCTGAGTACACTAAAAAAACACTGAATTGTACACTTTAAATCAAAGAATTTATGGTATGCACATTACATATCAATAAAGACATGTCTTTTAAAAAATAAGAATCACGTCTGGAGGCTATTTCCAAGTATGGATTCCCAAGCCCCAGAGTTTTGGGAGATCTGGGAAGGGACCCAGGAATCCACATTTTGACAGCTGCGCAGATGGCTGCTTCACAAACCGCTGCCCAGCGCTCTGCAAGAGCTCTCCTGTTGCGTGGTGAACCCACCAAGGGGGTTGTGTACCCGTAGTGGGCAGGGGCAGAGGAGCACCTTGCTGCCCATCTGGGGGCAGAGTCGTATCTTTCTGAAGCTAAAAGGAGACTCCTGAGGGGCAATCAGAACCTTTTTACAGATAAGGAAACTGCGCCCAGAGAAAGGAACATGACTTCGAATTCATGGTGTTCCCACCTCCAACTGCACGGCCCCTTCTCGCCTTCCTTTTTTCCCAAGCAGGGGGTTCTTTCTTTTCTTCCTTTCCTAAAGCTTCAGGGATAGCCCTTCCTGGAAGCGCCTAAGGGTGCAGCTAGTTGCTGTTTATGGGTCAAGGACTTGGCACAGGGGTTTTAGCGCCTTGGCACGTCCTTATCTTTTCCAAACTTCTTTCCCTCAGGTTATTCCCCCTTTTTTCCCCTGCGGAGCGGCTCTGTGCAGGGCACTGGGTGCTGCGCGTGAAGCCGGGGCTCCCTGGGTCCCTCCCGCCGACAGGTAGGACAGGAGCCGGAAGCGCCCGGAGGTGGCCCTGTTGCCGGGACGCACGTACCGGGGCCCTTTCGCGGCAATAAAGGCTCCGGGCCGGCCAGAGCTCGCTGAGTCCCGGGAGCCAGGCTGAACCAGCTTCTCCACTCCCTCTCCCCCGCCAAAGGGGCGTGTCTGGGCGGGTTCCCGGTCCAGCCCCCGGTGGGTGCAGCCCAGGAGAGAGGCATGAAGGCGCGGTCGCAGCTCCCTAGAGCCTGGTCCTGGCTCCAAGTCGACGGGCGGCCGGTACTCACCATGCGGATCTGGGTGCTGATGAGCAGGTAGGGCATGGTGCGCGCGTCCCGGCCTGGCTCCCACTTGGTGGCTGTAGGCTGGGCGCCGACTCCAGCCTTCCTGGCGTCGGGACTGCGACGCACAGCTGGGAGTCCCGTTACTCTGGCTCTGGCCACAGGCGGCGCCAATCCCGGGGCGCCCCGCCCATGGCCCCCGTGGCCGCCAATCAGGAGCAGCTGCCGTGACGCGCCCTGCAGTCCGCGGTTCGGGGCCCTTCCCCGCCCTCCCGGCGGCGGACTTGGACCCCGGGGCCCACCTGAAGCTTCCGCCGAGTGGTCCAGTTGCGGGAAGGTGGAGTGCGGGGAGGAGGGGACGATCTCACGGTCTGAAAGGACACTATCCTGAAGCTCCAGCGTCCTCCAGGACGCTCAGTGCTGTTTTCTTTGCAGCCTGTGATCTTCCTGCTTCCCCGCGCGCGTGTTGCCCCTGCGCCCGCTTCTTGCAACTCTGCAGGCCAGGTTCCAAAGTCCCTGCCAGGCAGAGCCCAGAGCAAATGGAGGCTTCTCCAGGCCCCAGCCCACCCCGCTCAGAGACACCTCGACAGCTTCAGCGGGGCCCCACTTCCCTTCGTCAAGACACGCGCTCCAGAGATTCCGTAAGGGCTGAGGAGGCCGGGGCACGAGGCTCGGGGCTAGCCCTGAAGACAACAACTAAAATACCATCCCGGGCGCACTGCTCATTCCCCCTCCCAGACTCTGATTCCAGCACAGCGGCGGATCCTTGCATTTCTGTGGACCTGCAGGAAAGTCTGTAAAGGAACCGCGCGCTTGGCTGGATGCCAGGTATGGAGGGACTGAATGGATGGAACCTGGCCCTCCCTCCCCTGAGCTTCCCGCGCAGCTGGACAGACGCGGCGCACGTGCCGGAGGTCACTGGGCAACACCTGGGACAAATGAAACAACTTCCCCCGCACCAGTCACCAATAAGCGGCTGCGAGTTCCCAATCGTGCGTCCACGCCCCTCATTCGCAGGTATCAAAATCTGACAACTCATCATTCTTTATCTGCCTTGTTGTGATTGGTGTTTTTTTTGTTTGTTTGTTTGTTTTGAAATGGAGTTTCGCTCTTATTGCCCAGGCTGGAGTGCAGTGGCGCCATCTCGGCTCACCGCTACCTCCGCCTCCCGGTTCAAGCGATTCTCCTGCCTCAGCCTCCTGAGTAGGTAGGATTACAGGCATGCGTCACGACGCCTGGTTAATTTTGTATTTTTAGTAGAGACGGGGTTTCTCCATGTTGGTCAGGCTCGTGGCAACCCCCGACCTCAGGTGATCCACCCGCCTCGCCCTCCCAAAGGGCTTGGATTACAGGCGTGAACCACCGCACCTGGCCTGTGATTGGTTTTCTAGAAAATAAAGCAAAACAAAAACAGCCTGTCTGTAGCCTTCCCTCCTATGGGAGGGTAAAAATCTTCACTTTTTAAGAGAGGCATTTATAGGGGATGCTGAGCTTCCAACACTTTGACAGACGTGGAGAGAGCTTAAGAGAAGTAGGAAGTTGTAATCCTAAACGTTCCTTAACTGGTCTAATTTATTATTCTGTAGTTCCTACCCCTGCCCTCTTACCCACTGACCTAATAAGTTAGCCAGAGAGATAAAACACAGGATGTGTTAAAACTGACAAAAGGACCGGGAGGGCGCAGTGGCTCACGCCCGTAATCCCAGCACTTTGGGAGGCCGAGGCGGGCGGATCACGAGGTTAGGAGATCCAGAACATCCTGGTTAACACAGTGAAACCCCATCTCTACTAAAAATACAAAAAATTAGCCGGGCGTGGTGGGGGGCGCCTGTGGTCTCAGCTACTCTGGAGGCTGAGGCAGGAGAATGGCGTGAACCCGGGAGGCGGAGCTTGCAATGAGCTAAGATCCGGCCACTGCACTCCAGCCTGGGCGACAGAGCCAGACTCCGTCTCAAAACACAAACAAACAACAACAACAAAACTGACAAAAGATTAATGCCCAGGAGCTCCTACAACTCAGTGAGAAAAAGATGAACAATGGAAAAAACAGGGGTAACTGACTTGAATAGGCCCTTCCCAAAAGAGGAAATAGAAATGACCAATAAACATATAACATGATGCCCAGTATATCATTATTAGAAATCCAGGAAATACAAATTAAATTTTACTTTTTTTCATTTTAACCAAATTTATCTAAACCATAAAACTTTGTAGATACAGTGGCTCACGCCTGTAATGTCAGCACTTTGGGAGGCCAAGCTGGGAGGATTGCTTGAACTCAGAAAGTCAAGGTTGCAGTGAGGCATGATTTGGTTTATTTTTAAGTAATCTATCCCTACTTAAAGACAGATTACCCTACATGTGAAAGCTATGTACAAAAATCATCCATTGATTAGAAGGTTTTTTTAAGTTATACAATTGTCCTTGGTTTTTACAATGATAAATGAAAAACATTAAAATTCTTCAGTTGAATGAAGTATGGAAGGATTTTTATGTTGTCATTTTTTAGTTAAAACAGAGCAAAATATAACTTACTGGAATATAGAGATAAGAACTGAGTGGGGTGCAGTGGCTCATGTCTGTAATCCCAGCACTTTGGGAGGCCAAGGCGGGTGGGTCACTTGAAGTCAGGAGTTCGAGACCAGCTTGGCCAACATGGTGAAACCCCTGTCTCTACCAAAAATACAAAAATTAGCTGGGCGTGGTGGCACACACCTGTAGTCGCAGCTACTTGGGAGGCTGAGGCAGGAGAATCACTTGAACCCAGGAGGCAGAGGTTGCAGTGAGCTGAGATCACACCACTGCACTTCGGCCTAGGTGACCGAGTGAGACCCTGTAAAACAAACAAACAAAAAAAAAAGCCGAATGTGGTAGCACATGCCTGTAGTCCTGCTTGAACCTGGCAGGCGGAGGCTGCAGTGGGCCAAGATTACACCACTGCACTCCAGCCTGAGCAACAGAGCAAGATTCCATCTAAAATATATGAAAAAAAAGATAAGAGCTGAATGAGCATGCTACGAATGGAGAAAGGGGGTATTTTCACAGAACCGGGATTTTCCCAGTCCCATCTCCACTTGATGTCCTTTTTTTATTCTTCTTTTTTTTTTTTTTTTTGAAGAGTCTCGCTCTGTCACCCAGAAATCTCATCTCCACTTGTTCTGAAGCAGTAATCAGAACACACCTTTGGCCATTTTACAAAAAGCAAACAAAAACACAAATGCAATATGCTGGTACACACACACCCGTTACCGTATGTACAACAAAGGAAAGGAGAAGGTGAAAATGAAATAGAACTATACTGTATTGGTCAGGATGTAGTGAAACCAAATTGCAGTTTTCTAATTGAGGATATAATCTTGGTCTGTAAGAACAGAGGTTTGGAGTAAAGTAGTAGGTTCCTCTTTTAGTAGACACCTGTCTCCTGCAGAAACACATCAATTGTGTATTCATCCTCCATTACCAGCTGTGCAGGTATGTCTGTTTCATTGATTGGCTGCCCGTCAAATCTGAATCTGATCTGCCTCATTGACAAACCCTGTTACTCACAATAGACTCTAATCAGTTTACCAGGTGGTATACGCCTCTTAAACTGTGCTACAGAACTATCCTGCCACACCACCTTCAAATAAATATGATCGTTGTTCTCAGTCTTCTTCCTTGAGCTTCCATGGCCATGGCAAGCACCAGAATCTCTGCAGCTGCTGCTTCACAAAGCGGGTACTGTTACCGCCCTCAAGGGAGGGTCACTTGACCCACCCAGTGCAGTTCTCGCCAACAGAATGGAACCGGGTTCAGTAAAGCAGAGCAGAAACGTTCACTGGTCAAGGAATGGAAAAGAGGAGCTTCTGCTCAAAGCACCTCCTGGACATTGGGTAAAGGGGGATCTTAAGGGCTTTCTGGGCAGATAGGTGAAGACTAGGGTAGGGATTCCTGGATGGATTCTTCCAGGAGCAGCTGGAGTGTGTAGATTCTTTTTGTACCTGGTACTGTTTGTGCTTACGTGGGTACACTTCTCCGCACTGGGTGGAGATTTTAGTATAACAGTGAAGCAGTAATTCAGGTCAAGGCAGCACTGCTGAGTTCAGTTCATCTTGTGGCTGGTTCCTGATTATTGGCACCTGGCCTTTGTTTCTGTAAGCAAGCACAGCTGGGAGGATGGTTCATTTCACAGGTTTTGGGGCTTCCTGAAAGAATTGAGGGCCAATGCAGTGGCCCCCGCCTGTAATCTCAGCACTTTGGGAGTCGAAGGCATGCAGAATGCCTGAGGCTGGGAGTTAGAGACCACCCTGGCAAACATGATGAAGCCCTGACTCTACTAAAAATACAAAAAGTTGCCTAGGCATGGTGATGCATGCCTGTAGTCCCAGCACTTTGGGAGGCTGAAGTGGGTAGATCACTTGAGGTCAGGAGTTCAGACCAGCCTGGGCAGCTGGTCTCTGCCCAGCGAAACCCTGTTTCTATTAAAAATACAAAAAATTAGCTGGGCGTGGTGGCGGGAGCCTATAGTCCCAGCTACTCGGGAGGCTGAGGCAGGAGAATCGCTTGAACCTGGAGTGGAGATTTCAGTTGAGCCGAAAAAAAAAAAAAGCAAAAAAAAAAAAAAAAAAAAAAAAAAAAAAATGATCGAGCCTGGCTACACATCCAGCCCTGGGCAAAGAGCAAGAACTCCGCTCTGAAAAAAATTAGAATCAGCAATAAAATTGCGTAGGCATGGCCGTGGCATGTACCCTGTGGAGTGCCAGCTATTGGCAGGCTAAGGCATAAGAACTCCGCTTGAAAGATCAACATACCCCATTAGGAGCGTGGGAGATTGCCAGTGAGCCCAGATCACACACTTGCCACTCTAGCTCTGGGCAAATCAGAGCGAGACTTTCATCTGAAAAAAAAAAAAAGAGAATTGCGGTCATGTTGGCCGGGTAACAGTACCAGATCCAACTTAAAAAGCACAGAAGGCAACACCAGGAGCCAGAAGACTAAATTAGTTGTGTTTTTTTGTCTTTTTTCTTTTTTTTTTTTTTTTTTGAGGAGGTTCTTCGCTCCTGTCGCCCCAGGCTAGAGGCAGTGCCCCAGAATCTCGGGCTCACTGTAAGCTTCGCCTCCCGGGTTCACGCCCATTCTCCTGCCTCAGCCTCCCGAGTAGCTGGCGACTACCAGGCGCACTGCACCGACGCCCAGCCTAATTTTTTCTTTGTGCTACTTTTTTTGCAAGTAGAGACGGGGTTTCACCGTGATTAGCCAGGATGGTTCAGGAGGCCCGGCCTTGGCCCTCCCAAAGCTGCTGGGCATTACAGGTGTGAGACACGCCCGCCCGCGCCACTTTTTTTTTTTTTTTTTTTAGAGACAGGGGCTTGCCTCTGTCATCCAGGCTGGGAGTGCAGTGTGTGCCATCAAAGCTCACTGGTAACCTTGAGCTCCCCTGGACTTGAGGCATCCTCCACCTCACCTCCCCACATGCCAACCATTCCACAGCTGTATTTTTTTTTTTTTTTTTTTTTAATTTTTTGTAGAGAC